TTTGCATTTTTCTATAAAAATAAATAGTTATTTATATATTTTATTATTCAAATATACAGGTTATAGCTCAAACAGAACCTACAAGTCAGTTATATCCAGGAGCTGGTTATCCTGGACATTTAACTCATTATCCTACTAGTGATATGTACCATTGGCCAAGACCAACACAATATCCATATCCTTATGGAACAACATATTTACAAAGTCATTATCAACCAAATACTACATCATTTTCTGGGACAGTAGGAAATCATCAAGGAGCAAATTATTATCCATCTTTTCAATCAAGACTTCATGCTATGGCAAATCATAATATTACAAAAGATAACCCACAAGTATACATATATTTTTTAATTTTAAATATATATCAATTTTTATCAATGTAAATATTACGTAATTTAATTTTTGAATATTTAGGGTCCTACCATTAATGGTGTATTAAATCGAGTTGTAAATGAATTAAAACAAATTTTAAAAAAAGATTTTAATAAAAAAATGATTGAAAATACTGCATTCAAACTGTTTGAAGTATGGTGGGATGAAAAGAAGTCAGAGAAAATTCAAAATCAAGGAGGAGAAAATACTATTGTTAATAACAGTAATAAAGAAGAAGGACAGAAACCTCAAGGATTATCATTACTTTTGGAACAAGGAACACCACTTGGATTTAATTATGATGGATTTGGTTTGGGTATTAGAGCCAGCATGCCAAAGATGCCTTCTTTCAGGGTAAGATTATTATTTTTATTACTGAACCAGTTTTATTTAAAATAATATAATATATAATGATACAATTTTAATATTTATATTATAGCGCAAAATCAAAGCTCCAAGCCCATTACCAGATGAAGATAGTCGTCAGTCTGATCATGGTGATACAGAGCTTATAGGAAGTGATAACAGTGATCTTGATTTAGCACCAGTGCAAAAAGTTAAAAGACCAATTACATCTCTTCCAAGCGTTTCTTCATCATCTTCCTCATCATCGTCATCGAGTGAAAGTAGTAGCGAGGAAATGAGTTGCAGCGAATCTTCTAGCAGTTCGAGTGATAGTTCTGATGAAGAAATATGTTCTGGCAATTTTGAAGATGAGGTATATAATAATTTATTAATAATATAAGGAATTATAACTACTTTTATAAATATACCAGTACATACTATATTTTTTGCATTTTTCTATAAAAATAAATCATATATCAGATCATCGTCCCCTGGCTTGTAACAGTGAAGATCCTGATATTTTAACAGAACTTGCAATTCAAAGATCATTAGATTGTTCAACACCTACTGGTAGAGAAACACCAGTACCTAGTATTAAAATAAAAGATATAAATTCAAATGAATTTCCTCAGTGTGATAATGAAGCTAGCCCTGTACCTTCTCCACTGAAGTATGAAAGTGATAAAGAAGATAGTGAGAAGACAAATGATAAACCTGTTGATGAGGAACAGTTCGAAAAAGTTCGAACAGTGGATGAAGATGTGGAGACAAAGAATGTAGAAGATGAGATTCAGAAGAAAGTAAAAGGTATTTCAATAGCATCAGATAAACAAGAACCGTGTGATATGCAAAAAATGGAAAATTCTGCAGCAGAAGCTTTAATAACATTAGCTGGCCAAGATAATATTATAAGACATAGAAGTCCGGGACCTGTACAACCAAATATTATTAGAGCACTTCAAACTATGTCTGCTAAGTATATTAATGATGAACCTATATTAAAAGAATCAGAAAAGATTGAAATGTTTAGTGAGATACCTACTACCGATTCAGAAGAAGAAAGCTTAGAAATTAGAAGATTAAGGTTTGTAAAATTTCAAACAGATAAAACTAAAAGTATATTTGTTATACATATTGTTTTGTATTACGCCAATTTATGTAAGATGTGACATTATACCGATTTGCATTAATTAGGTATCAAGCTGAAGCTGATCTTCGACTTAATGGTCAACAGAGCCCAAAAAATTCACAAGCTACACAAGTGTTTATGGAGCATTCATATTCACTACCACCAGCACAATCAGAAATTGCAAAATCTGTACTTCGTACACCTGCACCAATAAAACCTGTAAAACTTAAATCTTCGAAAATTATGAAATTATCTAAAAATAAAGACAAAACACACAAGGTAGAAAAACGAAAATACAATAAATATACTAAAATGCATGCTCACCAAAATTATGAGGGAGAAAAAGAAAATATTGAAAATGAATATGTTTATGAAAAATCTACGAAAAAAGTTGAAGAGCCAATGGTCACGTATAAAGAACGTGATCTTATGTCAGAAATGGCTATTTTGTATGAATTTTTAACCAGAGGAATAGATGCAGAAGATGTGGAATATTTAAGACGAAGTTACGAAGCTTTATTGGCCGATGATAGTCAAGGTTATTGGTTAAATGATACGCATTGGGTTGATCATCCACCAACAGATATTCCGAGTCCTGCAAAACGAAGAAAGAGAGATGAATTGAGATTGCATACAAGTGGAAGTGCAAGAACAGAAGGATACTATAAAGTTGATCTAAGAGAAAAAGCTAAGCATAAGGTATGAACTTTTTATTTTAATATTTGGTTTATCTGTTAATACAAGGAATAATTTAATAAGAAGTATCTTAAATTATTTGATATAAGACATAATAATTATTGATTTTTTAATTTTTTAAAATTATTTACTTTTTATAGCATCATTATGCACAAAGTATACAACGAAGTAACGATGTTGAAGACAGTAATGGTTCTTATGCTAGTGGTGATGGAACAATGAATGGTCCAAAGAACAATACTAAAGCTTTAACTGGTAAAATGCAAGCTCTGTCTCGTGAAGCTCGGAGTAACCAACGTCGATTATTGACAGCTTTCGGTATAGATACCGACAGCGATCTTCTTAAGTTTAATCAATTGAAAGTAAGATTCTAGTTATATTATTTCATTATTAGTACTAAATTATTTTAGTCAGTACGAAATATTTTATCTTATTTATTTTGTCCTATAGTTTAGGAAAAAACAATTGAAATTTGCTAAATCTGGTATACATGATTGGGGTTTATTTGCCATGGAACCAATTGCAGCAGATGAGATGGTAATTGAATATGTTGGTCAAATGGTGCGGCCAGTTGTTGCAGATTTACGAGAGTCCCAGTATGAAGCTACCGGTATTGGTAGTTCCTATCTTTTTCGTATTGATTTAGACACAATTATTGATGCAACAAAATGTGGAAATTTAGCACGGTTCATTAATCATAGCTGCAATGTGAGTATTATAATAGTATTTCTTTCATTTTTATAAAATAAATTTTTACAACAATCTATACTGTTAAAACTCTCTTGTTTTTCAGCCTAATTGTTATGCAAAAGTAATTACAATCGAAAGCCAAAAGAAAATTGTAATCTATAGTAAACAACCAATAGGAGTTAATGAGGAAATTACATACGATTATAAATTTCCATTGGAGGATGATAAAATCCCTTGCCTATGTGGAGCTCCTCAATGCCGGGGTACTCTTAATTGAATCGTTCATAAAACTATATTGTTCATCCCTTTTTCCTGTCTTCTACACTTCATCATACCCTACTCATATTTTTGTAAATATTTCCTAATGTAAACATTTTATAAAATGCAATGGAAAAATGCTAAATTATGTTAATACGAATTCCTTTTCTTTTTTAACAATCCTCTTCATGATTATGATATGTTAAGTACCTAAATGAATTTGAAAATCGTTATAATATTTATAATTTACGATTGTTTTTGTATATACGTAATTAAGATTTTATTCCTATTATGTTTCTGTTAAAAATAAAATAACAGTTCTTAAAAGCGCTCATGTCAGTCGATATGAAAAAAATTTCCACTTTTCAACAAGGTCAATTGAATTGAAGAGTAAATGTAAATATATAAGTAATTTTTAAGTAATTATATATCTGTTTTTTAAATGAAATATTTTACAGTGTGTGTGTGTATATATATATATATATACACACACCTTAGGGACATTTTTTACACACTTGTGTGCAGTGACATGACGTACATCGTGCAACGTCAGTTCATAGCGTGTAGTAACTGCTAATATGTCGATTCTATATATCACTTTCATACTTATAATTTCTAATAAAGAATATTTTTAAAAGGATTACTTAAATGACATATAATTCATTAAAATATAAAAATAATTGTTTAAAACTATAAAATTATTCTTCTCTTTCAAAATTTTGTTTTTATAACTTTTCATTTTTTACTTAATATTTATTAATTAAATATAACTTAATATTTAAATACTTCATATTTAAAAAAAGTATTACTTAAAGTCATTAAAGACATTATAATACCTAAGAAAAATTTCATCATAGACATATTACATTAGGAATAATAAAATTTAAATTACTTAATTTATGAAAAAGTATATACCATAGCATTTTTTATTGAAATATTGATACAATTATTAGTACATATATGATTATAAAATATAAATATTAATAATATATAATTATTCGACTTATTTCTTTTATTAAATAACACGAAGTGTATTAGTATTGTAAATATTAACAATGATTAATATTTACTTTGATAACTTAATGATTTTTTAAAGAAATATAAATTTATTTGTACTTTGCTAAATTAATATATAACGTTTTTCATATATATATTATAATTTATACTATTATGAAAGTAAAATAATATTGCATTTTTTCTCATTTTTATTACGATGGTTAACCATCTAATATTTTTTGGAGTTGAAGATTATTATTTTATACTTGAAAATTTATTTTATATCACAAATATGTTTAAAAGCATTAGAAATTCGAAGTATAAATTCAAAGTATCCCTCTATAACAACATGCTAACCAACCATCAAAACATAACAGACAAATTTTAAGATTGGAATTAGTTAATTTAATTGTGACATAAAAATCAATTTCTCAGAGTGGAAAACCTTATAAACATATTTCATAATAAGGAATTAAGTACAGTACTTGATCATAGTGATGTTACATGTGAGATAGTGTTATTTATTATATTGTAAAAATAATATAATTTTAAGGGTTATATTTGAAAAATATGGCAGATCGTTTAACACAATTGCAAGATACTATAAATCAAGTAATTAATTATAAAAATTGTCTATGTATAAATTGTTTCAGTATAGAAACGTAATTTTGATTTATTATTGTAGCAAGCAGAACATTTTTGTAACAGTGTAGGTATTTTACAACAATATTCAACGCCTAGTAAATTTCCTGGTTTTGATCGTGTTGGGACACCACAACCACATCAACCTCAAGAAGGTACTTTATGTATAAATAATTTTAAACATTTTTATTTTTCCTATAAATAATACTTATATTTTAGATTATGCAGCCTTATTTGCCACTCTTATAGCAAGATGTGCAAAGGATATTGATACCTTAATAGAAAGTTTACCAAGTGAAGAATCATCACAAGAAGTACAAGTTGCAAGTCTTAGTCGCCTTGAGCAAGAAAACCAAGAAGCTGGTGAACAGCTAGAAGAAGTTGTAAAACAAGGAGAAGCACTTTTACAAAGGATTCAAGCTGCTCTACAAGATATTGCTCAAAGTCAATTAGATATGCAAGATCCAGCAACATCATCTGTAATTAATATTAGCCTTAACACTAATTCAACTTTCAAACAAGAAAATGTGAGTTCTGTAAATACGGTATCTACAAACAGCACGCATCAGTTGTCAGATCCTTCACCTAATTCTGTAAATCAATGATATATTTTTACTATAACAACTTTTTTAAAGATTTATAAAAAAAATAAATTGTATTGATAGTGTATACATCCTGTCTAAATATTGAAATTATTATATAAATCTTGCAAAATATTTAATAATTGTAGAATAAATAATATGAACATTATTTATAAAAAATAATGTATTTAATAATTTTTACTTTGAAATGATATATAGTTACATTAAAATGTAAAAAAATAAAATGATACTGATTTTTGTACCTATACTATTTCTTAAGAACATTTATAAATGTTTCTCGTGGTACACATATTTTTCCAATCATTTTCATCTTTTTTTTTCCTTCTGTTTGTTGAGCTAATAATTTCATTCTTCTAGTAACATCACCACCATACTAAAATAAGAAATATTGATAACAGAAATATGTGATAATATACAATATACAATGGAAAAACGATTTTTACCAGTTTTGCAGTTACATTTTTTTTGTATGGTTTTAATGTTTCTCTTGCAATTACTTTTCCATTAACTACTGCTTGAATTACTATTTCAAATAATTGACGTGGGAGAATATTTACCAATTTTTCACATATCTGTTTGCTTGTTTTACGAACTTTGCTACTATGTACAATAGTACTAAATTCTTCCACTACTTTACCATTTAAAGCTATATTTAACTGTAGTATACAGTTATTAACATAATAGATTATCTATATTATGTAGAATTTTAATACAAAATTGAACATATTAAAATAACTGCAATTACCTTTATAATACTTGTAGATTCATAACCATGTTCTTCATAATCAAAAGTACCATATCCTGAGGTTACACTTTTTAGTGTATCATGTAGATCAATAATAATTTCGTTTAGTGGTAGTAAAAATTGAAGCAATGTTCTACCATGCCCAATATCTTTTGTTAATTGTTCTACTCCACGTCTTTCAATGCATAAAGATATTACTGCACCATAATATTCAGCTAACATGTAATTAAAAGGTGTTTATTTTTTTGCTTTTATTAACTATATTTATATTGTATAAAATTTAATCTTTAAATTTACTTGGTGTTATGATAGTTCCTAATACCATAGGTTCATAAAATTCCTCCACAATTTGCGGATCAGGAAAATTTGCAGCATTATTGAATGAAATTATATCACCTTTATATATTTTTATATTTTTTTTGCCAATAATTTTTGCTTGGTATGTAACACTAGGTGTTGTAACAACTGATAATGCATTATATTCTTGTTCAAGTCGTTGCATAAATACTTCCATATGTAACAAACCTAAAAATCCAATTCTCCAGCCTTGTCCAAGAGCTACACTAAAATAAAAACATGTTAAATGAAATGTTTAATTAGATAAATTAAGTACACACGAAATACATCTATTACTTTGTATGTTTACCTTTTTTTTTATTTAAATTATTAATAGATTTGTAAAATATTGAGAAACGTACCTAGTTTCAGATGTTATAGAAACACTACTATCATTTAATGTTAATTTTTCAATAGCAATTTGCAGAGTTTTAAATTGTGATTGATCAATTGGATATACACCTGAAAAGACCATTGGTTTTGGTGATTTAAAACCTAATAAAGGTTCTGTGATATGATTTTTCATGTGCAATGTATCTCCAATAAATATTTCTTTGGAAGATCTTATGTTACACGAAATACATCCTATTTGACCTGCAAATCTAGAATGTATATATTAATATATGAATACTATTATACAATTAATAATGTATTATTTTTTAACATTTATATTTACAATTTATTTACATATTCTTCAGCAGGTCTTAATAATGAAAGATTTCTAACTTCATAAGATTTGTTAGAATACATTAAAGTGATATTTTGTTTTAAAGACAAAAATCCTTCTTTAATATATATCAATAAAATAGATCCTTTATATTTATCATACCAACTATCAAATATCAATGCTCTAAATGGTTTGTTTCTGCATACATCAGGGGGTGGAATTTTTTCAACTATGGCATCTAAAATTTTAGGTACTCCAGTACCTAATTTAGCAGATATTTTTAAAACATCTGAGCTTTTTATGTCAAATAATGTTTCTAATTGATTTATCACTCTATCAGGATTAGCAAATTTTAAATCTATTTTATTGACCACTGGTATTATAATTAAATTTTGTTTCTTGGCTAAGTAAAAGTTAGCCACAGTTTGAGCTTGTATTCCATCATTTGCATCTATTACTAAAATTACTCCTTGACAAGGAGCTAATGAACGATACACTTCAGCAGAAAAATCAACATGACCAGGTGTATCTATTAAGTTAAGAAGATATTTGGTTTCTTTATACATATAATTAAGGGAAGCTGTTTGAGCTTTAACTGTAATTCCACGTTCCCTTTCAACTTGTAACTTATCTAACACTTGTTTACCAGAATTGCTTTTTATTGCACCTGTTAATTCCAAAAGTCTATCAGCAAGTGTGCTTTTGCCATGATCAACATGTGCTATAATACTAAAATTACGTATATTTTCTATTGGTATTTCATATTCTTTAATAACTTCTGATTGAGAGTTTGTACAGTAAATTTTATTAAAATGATATAAATGTTTGCTGTAATTAAAATTTTTTAATTAAAAATATTTTGGATTTGAAGTATAACATTATAGCATATAATATTTGAGAAAAGTATTTAATACTAACCTTATGCATGTTTGAAAAATATAATTTTTGTAAGGATGCCACATATGATAAATAAATTTTTCTAATTTCATGATAAATTATACAATATAAATTATTTATTAGGTATAATTATTATTTTCAATTTTATTTATACATAATGAATAGTATAATTCGATTTAAATCATTATACAAACTTTATTCAAAATATAAATTATATCGTAATCAGTATATATAAATAAATAAGAAAGTCAGTTATTACAAATTAATCACTTGTCATAAATCATCAAATATTATAAATTAAATGAAAAATTACATATATCTTTCGTTAGTTAACACCATCAGTAAGGTTAAATGGCATGTAAAGATTATAAATGGGAATAATTAATGAAAATCTATACTACTAATAAAATAAAGTTCGTCTAAACTTATATTTCATTTATATACTTTTATGTCAAATAAAATTGCAATATTTTAGTGAAAAAAATATTTTCAAATAATAATCTCAAGTAAGTAGAGTACAAACAAAACTTTCTTCATTTTATAATAGTAGTTAGTTATACAACTTGTAATTTTTTGTGTTTTAAATTTAAAACAATGAAGTTATATACTTTATATTTCTATTAAAAATATATTTTAAACTATTTAAGTTTTAAAGTTAAAACTTAGATTGAATTCAAAAATAAATATAATTTTATTTTACATTAAGAAAATATCTCAAAATCATAAAAAAAATTAACGTACGTACTAAACGAAATGTATTTTACTATAAAATTAAATAAATTCAAAATTAGAAGAAAATTTTAAGAACTTAAATTTCGTTTCCGTTAAACTATAATGATTCAATATATAATTTCTTGAAAAATTTAACGTTTAACAAAGTATGTAATTTTCAAATACTATTTTATAGAGTAAATAATTCTTTTTAAATATGTGTAAAGGCATAAAAAATATAACAATAGGAATAAATGAATGTTTCTTTATTAAGTTGTAAATACATCAATGCAATCATTTTATTTTTGGGCAGTAGGTGCTGACTGATTGGATGATTTAGAATCCCGCATGGAAGCACTACGTCTTCGTTTCAATTCTTCTTGACGTCTGTTCTTTGCCTCTTTTTGCCTCTGTGCTAATAATCTTGCATATTCAGCTGCTTGTTGTTTACGAGCCAAACTCCGCCTTCTCTTCAAAGCCAATCTATGCCGTTTCCTCTATAAGATTATTTTTATTTTGTGATAAATTTAATTTTTCAGCAAACTTTAACAATACAAAATAAAAGAGAGAAAAATATATATATACCTGCAGAGTAAGTGGAGTAATAAGACGTTGAATCTTCGGGGCTTTAGAACGCGCTGGTTTACCTTCTTTTTGAATTGGTCGTTTCACAACAAATCGACGCACATCATCTTCCTTAGACAAATTGAAAAGTTTACGAATTTTACTCGCTCTTTTAGGTCCTAAACGTCGTGGAACATCTTCATCAGTTAAATCTGGAATATCCTATAAAAATTTAACCAATTTGTATAATAAATATTCCATAATAAATAAAAGGTATTAATTCATTAATGTACCACCTGTACACTGAGAAAAAGTACATATTGTATGATACAATTTCTCAAATCAAGAAATGATATTTAATATTCCATGTTTACGATAATATCATAAGACAATAAGCAAATTCTTAGATATACCCTGAAACATGGATAATAAATAAAAAATATATGTAATAAATTGATACCTTTTCTCCCTTCTTAACAATGACAAGAGCAAGTACTGAAAGGTTGAAATCAACAATGCATCCACGAACAGATTTACGTTTACGCTCACCATCACGTCTAGGTCTATAGCATGAATGTCCCTTTGAGAGCAATAAACGTACACGACCTATTTATAATAATAATATATTAAAAGTACTGGAGTTAGTAGTTAATAAGATATAACAATTTTCATAGTACAAGTATATATGAAAATGTTATAAGAAAATTAAAATAAAGAATGCTTATTTTACCATTAGTCAGAACACCTTGTTTCATAGGAAATCCTTGTTTGTCATTACCACCAGAAATACGAACAACATATCCTTTCCATTCGTTACCTAAAGCATCAGCTTCAACTTCAGCGCCCATACGTTTTTCATAAAAAATTCTAAGTTTATGTTCATCTGAGATTTCAAATAGTTTTTGACATCCTGTTGCAGGATATGATACGTTCAACTAAAAGAAAAAAAATATGGAAACATTATATACTCAAACGAAAAAGAATATTAGGAAGCATTTTGATTAGGTTAACTTTGTTTTATGCAACAAAGTAATGTAACAAGAATTATAAATTTTAACATTCTATATAAACAAATTTTTATATTTTTTCTTTTTATTTGCATAGGAATTACTTGATGTTATTTATAATGTCAAAGTTATATAAGTCAGAATTTATGTTTAAATAAGTGTACAGATAAATGGACACTTGTCAAATTATATATATCTAAAATTACTTATGATGTTTTGCTATGTAAATTTTATTATTAATTCCTCTCAATATCTATTAGATTCACAAAATATTTTTGGATACAGACCTTCATGGTGACAAGTATGAAACAGTGCCACGAGCCATGAACAGAAAGAAAGTATAACGAGCTAGCGAACAGTAGAGTGCGTATACCGGATATCCGGTTTAAATGCAATGAAATTTTAAAGTGAAAATAATAATAAACAAACTTCTGATAAATCTGTAAATAAATTATATTAATACCTAATTATCCATTGAAATTTGAATCTAAATTTTGAGTACTAAATTAATTCATTGATAAATTACGTTTATTTCGTATACAAATGTGAAATTAATAAAATTTCTTTGAAGAATTCAAAATTACACATATGTATTATATTATATACAAGATAAATAAAAACAATAACTTTATTTTTATATAAAATTTAAGTAAATATTAAGATATATTTTATCAAAGATATTATTTATATTACTGTCCATTAAAAGAAATTAGTTAACTTCTTTAATAGTTCTTTGATGAAACTCTTGGATAAAAATTTGCACTTAAGTATGCAAGCAAATAAAACTAACGTAATATATTTATTATAGATTCTGATAATATTTACATAGTGATTAAACAACTAACGAAAAGTATTATGTTTTATACGTAATAAGGTAGTTCGCACTGTGACAATAACTGTCACCACTGTATTTTATAGAAAAAGAAAAGAACAGGAGGGGGGCAGCGTTCTGAAATGCCGACTTGCGGGCGTGTGTGACATTTTGATGTAGAGTGTCTTTGATGATTTTCGTTATGTATCGATTTAATACATAGATATTTGCGATAAATGGAGTTTACCGAAAATAGTTCTACAACCCCCATATAAGATAGGTAATATCTGGATGTGTATGATTGATATTTTCTTGTAGGTTAGGGACTGTTCACCCGGAATAAGGGAAATGATAATTTGTTTGACGAAAATAATATAACGGCAGAAGGTATTTGATTTCGTGCAATAGTTTTTCCTAACATAACTAAGTAGTAGGGATATTTGTGATTTCTTACGATAAAATTAAACGTCGGAAAACGAAAATATCATTAGCACATGTTCATTAAGTTTAGTCATACCTTTGCAAAGGAAAACAAATAACAATGAGTGTTTTAAATTTAATATAAGAATAAAATATAATAATATTTTATAGGAAGATATGGATGCTGCAGTGATAGAAGTCCTTCAACAAGCGGGTAGTCAAGATCCTAATATTTTAAAACCAGCTGAACAAACTTTAAAACAATGGGAAACTGAAAGGGGATTCTATACTGCATTATATGTAAGTTGCATAAATAAACATGTTAAAAATTTAGTTACATTGTAAGAAAACATAAATTTATTGTTAACTATATTTATGTTAATGAATATATTATAGAATATTTATATATATATTCTGTATATATTCTGTAACGATATTTTAGGTTATGAAAAGATTTTATTTTTGTAGCTAACGAAACTATAATGATCTGATATTAAATCAAGTATTAATAATTGTTTCAGAATGTATTTTCTAATCATTCCTTGACTGTCAATATTAGATGGATGGCTATTTTATGTTTTAAAAATGGTGTTGATAAATATTGGAGAAAGAATGCTCCAAAGTAAGTATTTTTTAATGCACTGAAGTTTTATTAATACACTATTAGTATTTTATACTTATCTTAATATAAATCAACATTAAGTAATATATATTATTATTGTAGTGGAATTGCAGATGATGAAAAGGAATTCCTTAGACAACGTTTAATAGCACACTTTGAAGAACCTATAAATCAATTAGCTATTCAGTTAGCAGCTCTCATTGCTAAAATTGCAAGGTAATTAATATTTTTTAAGTAGTTTACATCTACTTTTTTTTATTAATAAAAGCAATTAAGTGAAATAATATTTTGCAGATATGATTGCCCCAGAGAATGGTGTTCATTAATTCCAACATTATTGGATGGTATAAGAGGACAAAATCCTTTGGCTCAACATCGGGCACTGTTAACATTACATCATGTTGTTAAGTCTTTAGCTTCTAAACGTTTAAGTGCAGACAGACAACTCTTCCAAGAATTAACCATTAATGTGTTCAGTTTTATTCTAAATTTATGGAATAATTACACAGAATCTTTTCTTATAATGGCATCAAATGGAGCAGATACAAATCAAATACAGGAAGCTTTGGAAAAAGCATTACTTTTATTGAGAATACTTAGGACACTTATTGTAAATGGATTTAATAAGATTTCAGAATCTCAGGATGCTATGTCATTTTTAGAAATTGTTTTTGAACGTGCAAGAACTTGTTTAGAATGTCGTTAGTATTCTTCTTCTTTAGTATAAATCTTATAATTAATTATACATTTGCCTCTTTTAATAATAATGCTTCTGTATAATTGTAGGAAAAACACTAATTTCAAGAGGTATACAGATGGAAGTATGCGATAAATTTATAATTCATTTGACCAAAGTATTAATAGGAGTATTAAAAATACATCCATTTTGCTATGTAGAACTAATACCAACGTCATTAGAATTTTCTGTTTTCTATTGTTTTACTGAAAGTGGTCAAACTTTAGCTTTTGAAAAGTTTGTTATACAATGTTTAAATCTAATGAAAGACATTTTATTATCTACATATTATAAACCAGCTAAAGTTCTTGAAGGTATATATAATATATATAATCATTCTATAAGTTTATGGGTGTAATTCATTAAGCCTGGAAATTTATTAATGCAGATACAAAAGATCCATTAACATTGAGAGCAAATCAGTTAAGACAAGAATTTTTTACACCTGAAACATTAACTGAAATCTGTTCAAGACTTGTAACACATTACTTTCTTCTAACCCCTGCTGAATTGGAATTATGGGATACAGATCCAGAAAGTTTTGGTAAATATTTATATACACATGTATTGATACATTTTTAATAATATTACTTTCAGTTGTCGATGATGGTGGTGAATCATGGAAATACAGTTTAAGGGTAAATATTTTATATACTACTATTTACTATACTATTATACTATACTAATATACTATACTATAATGCATTTTGACTTATTTTATAATTAATGTTTCATTTTTAGCCCTGTACGGAGTGCTTATTTGTAGCAATTTTCCATCATTTTGGAGAAGTTCTCATATCAGTTTTAGTTGAATTAATGCAAATACATCACCAACCAGTCGATCCAAATAATTTACATGCTATTTTAGTAAAAGATGCAGTATACAATGCAGTTGGTTTAGCTGCATTTGATTTATATGATGAGGTAAGGATGAAATATTATAAAGAAATCAGTTTTAATGGTCAGTCATCCAGTTATTATACTTATATGTATCAGGTAAACTTTGATCAATGGTTTTCAACTACTTTAAAAGAGGAATTGAAAATTCGAAGTACCAATTATAGAATTATTAGAAGACGAGTATGTTGGCTTATTGGACGATGGACAAGTAAGTAAATTTTAGTTTCTTAAATAAATGAAATAATCAAAATTTATTATATAATAATTTTAATATTTATCATGGTCGGCATTATAATAAAATTTCAGCTGTAAAATTAAGAGCAGAGTTAAGACCGGAATTATACGAACTTATGATTGAAGTTTTGAGTCCTGGAGAAGATTTGGGTGTTCGTTTGGCAGCAAGTGATGCTTTAAAACTCGCAATAGATGATTTCCAATTTTATCCAGAAGAATTCTCACCATATTTAGAACGAGCATTTTCTTTATTGTTTGCCCTCCTAAAGGAAGTAAAAGAATGTGATACCAAGGTATATATAGTTATGTTATTTTCAAGATATTATTTTATTTCAGAAAACACTCTAAATTATTTTTAGATGCATGTGTTGTACGTATTATCATTTATGATTGAACGTGCTGGTAGTGAAATAAATCCACATGTTGGAACTCTTAGTTCATATTTACCAGCACTTTGGCAACAATCTGAAGAACATAATATGTTGAGATGTGCTATCATTTCGACACTTGTACATTTAGAAAAGGTATATTTTTCATTTATACTGCTCAATTTAGATAAATAATTTTACTTAGTAGATCTGTTTAAGATTCTAATCGATTTAAATAAGGGAAATATTTAAATTATTTATTAGGCCTTAGGTTCTGAAAGTGTCGCTATTGAACCATTGGTAGTAGGTGTTATTGGATTAAGTTGTGATGTTAATCAAGGTTGCCACGTTTATTTGCTAGAAGATGGATTGAGGTTATGGGTAGCTTTACTGGAGAATACACCTGCACCAACACCAGCTATAATGGATTTGGCTAAAAATTTGCCTGCTGTATTAGGTTAATAAATAGTTTTATGTAAATTTATTAATGTTTCTCATAAATATTCAAGAAACTTACAAATTTTTATATTTTTCAGAACAATCATTTGAATATTTAAAATTATGTCTGTGTATAGTTCAAGCATATGTAACATTAAGTCCTCAAGAATTTTTAAGTCAAAGAGGAGCTGTTATAATCGAAACACTTAGATCTCTCCTAGGGGATATGAATTCAGAAGGAGCAGTAATGACAATGACAGTCTTTGAACTATGCTTATGTGCTTCACCTCGGCAAGGTGTAGAACTCATTAAACCTGTTTTAATAACTATATTTGAGTGAGTATAAATGTTTCAATATAATATAATAGACTTTAGACGTTAATATTCTTTTTAATTTGAATAGGAATATGTATAGGGAGGAAGAAGGTATGATGACAATGACTATGTATTTATCTATTGTAGCAAGAGTTTTATGGTTTTATAAAGATATTTTTATACAGGTATTAAAATTTTACGTTATTTTATTTACGTATTTATCAATTTCTTAATACAGTTCATATAAGTATTTAAATTATCGTGTAGGTAATAAGCGAATTTACCAGAAAAATGGGTGGAAATGAAGCTAGAGAAGAAATTGTACTCGGAGAAATAATACGTATATGGGTTAATCGAATGCCATACATTTCTCTCTTAGAAAGACGTAAATTATTAGCTCTTGCACTTTGTTCGCTTCTTGGAGCTAATAGTCCTCCTAGTGTTCTTCAGCATTTTCCACTGATAATATCAAATATCGTCGGAACTCTTAATGACATCACCAAATTTGACGATATAAGATGCGAAC